AAAAAAAAAAAAAAAAGAGAGAAATGGCCATATTCACCTCCCCACCTATAACCACAGAATGCATACCTGGCAAGCGACGCTGGCAAGTTCCATACTGATTGGGAAATAACAAGTGAAGACTTCCAGTTCTTTAAAATTCTAAACAGTAAACAACCATAGCGTAAACAGTCCTCCATAATGTCCCACAGGATTTTTGGGGGGGGCTGCAGAGTAAAATCAAACTGCAAGCCTTGAAATAGAACTATTTAAAGGTTACACTGCATGTGAAGGCAAACAGCTCACTCATGTCTTGGCGAGGGCTTGTTAACATTATAACATCAGTGTCTGGAATGCTAAATCACTGTCACACTCTACCTTCAAGCAGACACACAATGTTTTCAGGTCTTGTTTAAAATCAAACTTTTGCTCTCACAGTGTAATCCTAGCTATAACTTTACGGTCTTGTAAGATCCTGGTATATCCTAAGCAGCATCGAATAAGCACTGAAACACTAAAAAACAAAGAAAGTGACTTGTGAAAAGCTCAAATGCAGATTGTGAAAGTTAAAAAAGGTCTCCATAGCTAAAACCGTCCTTTAGCTAGTTGTTGTAACTTTCTTACAGCTGTAGCATACCAAGACTCAGGAAAAAGGAATCAGTTGCCAACTCTGAGATCCAAGACACACTTGGGCAGTTTCCTGTCTGGACCACCTGGAAGACAGCACTGTTCATTGCTTTGAGGCAACATTCATCTGAAATCAAGCTGAGACATTATTGTCAGATAGGTCAAGTGAGGTCAGCAGAGAAGAGTAAGGAACTTTTCATTGGCAACTGATTGATTTTGTGCCATTCTTCTCAGCTGGTGGTGAAAGGAACTGACCTCTGAACAGCCTGCCATTTAAAACCTTACTGTGTCTCACTGGGGTGCTCATTAAAAAAAGACAATTAGGTTTGCTGGGACCAAGTATGGACACCATAGTGGGGACATGGAATTCAGGAAAAGAGGAAATGGCAAATGAGTCAACTGCAGCGTGGAAGATTTTCTCACAAGTTAAGCTTGACTTCAGTGCTAAAGGGGAAAAATCTCACTGTGTAAAAAGAAAAAATACGTACAGCTGATCAAAGTTCACTCATCTTAGAGTGCTTTGTTTCAAAGACAAACATAACTTATCAGAGTGAAACTCCTGCCCCCGCCAAGGCTACAGGTTGGAGTCTGTGAAATGGGATGAAAAATGTACCTCAAATCTTCTAAGGCGGAGGAGCTCGTCATAAGTAATGTGTTGAGTGTTTTACATGATTACTCCAAACAACTAATTATTGGGCAAATTCACGAGCAACACACACGCATCTGTTACTCTGAGACCATCTGTGGTGATTGGATTAGTCGGTGTTTCTGATACAATAAGAAACAATTGTAGGCATGTAAATTTAATCACTTCTTTTTTCAAGAGACAGCTCAAGGCGCGACTGACCAACCTAATAAAATGCACAATGTTTAACAGTCCTCAAAAACACTGTAAATAGCAGCATATGCACAGATGAGAAACCCATGTGATGTGTAGTTTCAATGTTTTCTCAGCTAACGTTAGCTAAGATTTGGTAAAGTTGGTAACGTTGTCAAAAGCAGCCCACGTACCGAATTCGCCAACTTCTTTCCTTCCAACGACTCTTGTCACGAGGAAAAACCTTTCTCCGTGGATTCGTGCTGAGAAGAACGCCGCGAGTTATTTGCTTTCACATGGTAAAAGCCACTCGGACACGCAAGCCAGAACTGCCCGTGAGCTCGTACTGCGGCCAAACACCGCCGCATCTTGGAGGAACTGCGAAGAACTGATGGGGCTTTCGAGGTCTGCCGGAAATATAGCCGCCAAGAGCTGGTCGCCAACGCAGGGGCAAACCACCATAACAATGTTCCTTTGGTATTCGCTCATGTACAGATGGACAAAACCTTACCTACTGAGGGAAATAACTATACTGTTTACGGAATGACTGTTGTTATAAAAAGGCGCGCTTTGTTTCGTTCGCCATTGTCATTTCCCAACACAAACACATGAAAAGGGACCTCAAAGTAAAGAAATAGTCATTCAAATTGTTTTTCCATTTTTTTCAAAAAACTTGTTTTTGAGATAACAAAGTCCACCAATCTTAAGAATCACTCATTTTCAAAGAGCAAGTGAACGCATCAAAGGACAGCCTGTTTTTGGCAAGCCAGCTGTGTTTGATGTCAAAGGTGTTCCCATATCTTAACATCTGGTTTGCATAGTGTGGTCATTTATTTTAGTGTGAAAAAGCTTGAAACAAACATGATGTTTGAATAAAAAATATCTTTAGTCATGGAATATGTATGCAATGACAGGCTTGTGAAAGGACATAAACAGCTGAAGGATGAGAAGAAATGGCTGAAGTTCTTTGTTGAATAATCTGAAGGATGCGATGCAATAAATACAAGTAGGAATGTCCTGTTTCACACAGCTGTGCAAAGACCTGGGATCAGAGCATGGCCAGTTCGTTCAGAAGTTTGCTGGCTTTCGAGGGGAAAGGTAATGTCACACTTTTACGAGCTTAAACATGAAATCGCCGCCTTCCTCTCGCACAATAACTCCCCGTACACTGAGATGCTCAATGATGAGCTCTGGCTCGTGCGCGTGGGATATCTTGCCGATGTGTTTGAGCACCTCAACACTTTAAACGTGTCTATGCAGGGGAGAGGACACAACATCTTTGAACAGACTGACAAAGTCACTGCCTTCAAAAAGAAGTTGAGGTTGTGGATAAATCACTGACTAAAAACAGACTTGACATGTTTCCCAACACTTGCTATGCAGCAGGAGAGCTAAATACAGCAGCCAAAATAACTATCACTGCACATCTGACCAGTCTACATGCTTGCTTTGAGTACTGCTTTCCAGAGAAACATGACAATAGTCACAGGATAAGAGATCCCTTTGGAATCGACATGGAAAGCGTTGTGTTGCCAAGCAGCAAGGAGAATCAGCTGGTCAAGCTGTCATGTGACCAGACACTGAGAAAGAAATTTGATGAGGTAAGGCTCCCCCATTTCTGGTGCAAATAGGTGATGTCTGAATATCTCTCCCTCACTACATTGGCAGTCAAAGCAATCCTACCATTCACAACAAGCTATTTGTGTTAAAGTGGCTTCTCCACTTTGGTACAGCTCAAGTCAAAGCAAAGGAACAGGTTGGACACTGAACATGATCTGAGAGTAGGTCTGTCTACTATCAGCCCAGACATTAAAAGTCTTGTCAGAACTAAAGGACAACTACAGCTATCTCATTAGTTCACTGTAAAATAAAATCTTGCTTACATGTTAAGTGAAAAGAGACTATAAAGTATTATCATGTTGTGTTTGCAGTTCTGCACTCAGTTTTATACATATACAGCACCCTGTTGTGTTATTCGACTGTTGTATTTATGTTGTGTTATGCAGCAGTTGTGGTGTTTATTTTTATTTTTGAGTAACATTTCCTCAATGCAGACAGAAAAATCTGACACAATGGCTGTACTGACTATGTTTTTAAAAAATAATTTAATTTATTTATTTGAAATCCTGTACTGGTGGGTAGTGATTTGACAAGTGGGTTGGAAAGTGTATCCCAGGGTGACACCAGTTGAAAAACACTGATCTAGTGTACATAGAAAGAGCACACAATCTGAAACAGAGGAGTGGTACAATCCACAAGGTTCAGAGAATGACAACAACATCAGCTGTAGTTTCACTAAAGCACATTTTGTCAAGATTCGGTTCCGTTGCTTCCTGTCAGGCTTTTATTTTGACGTTACTTCCTGTTTTTGTTTCACCTTAGTTTCGGTCTTTTTACGTTCTTCATCACTCATATTGGTTTCACCTGTTTCTTTATTATGTGCACCTCTACTTAGAGATTGTTCTAGACTCCAGCATTTACACCTTGCCTGAGTCTGTTTTTGACCACCGTGTTTTGCCTATGCCCTTCCAGTTTCTGATTGTCTGCAGTGTAGTGATGGGCAGATGAAGCTTCATGAAGCATTGAAGCCTTTCATCCAATTGGTTCACTCCAGCGCAAAGCTTCTTGAAGCTTCATTTGCTCTAGGAGGACATCTACTGGATGCAACAATATCAGTTGGCATGAATTTGAAGTGTGTGGCATTTTGCAGAAAGCCTGTGAATAAAACTGTATGCAAAATAAAGAAGTATGCAAAACATGTATATTGTAGTGATGGCAGTATACTGTGTATATATA